TCTGCCATGCCATAAAAGAACACTGCAATGCGAACTGGGGTTTCAAAGCGTAAGCGTGGCTGTCGAACTTCATTGAGATCCTCAGACTCTACAAGCAGCTGGCCGTTGTTTAAGATCATGGCAGCACCTCTGTGAGAAAACGGTACATCGGCAGGCATCCTTCTGGTGACTGGTTGCGCATACACTTGTGCCCTAGTCAGCTCCCAAGGAACTAACTGCTTCAGTTGACGCATCTCCTTGGAATCTTCACTCAAATAGAAGTATCTGCTCCTGCCCAAGCGCTTTTCAAGACTCTCAAGGAAACTCATCCATTCTTCAGGCGCATCAACTGGAGGAGCGTACCACACATCATGAGGGGGTTCATCGAACTTCCATGGACACATCATGCGAACTTCATTGTGAATGCACTGCAGCAGAAAATCAGCCATGTTGCACTCACGCTCACCCTGAACTTGCAGAAGGCACCGACAGTTTGTCACAAAGGAACTGTTGCCGGCCTCGTTGTGCACGTGCTTCTGCTTGAAGGGGCTCGCCTTGCCGGTTTCAGGGAGCTCAAGGATTTGCACCAGGACACCCGTCACATCATCATGAAGGTCGGGGTTGAAGTCGACTATGAACCTACCGCTCTGGATCACTTGTAGCTCGCAACACTTTTGTATGGCAATCTTGACTTGCGCAGGCTGTCTTGCTGCACTGTGCACATAGAGCACGCGTGGTCTGACCTGGGAGAGGATCTGCAACAGAAGCTCGGGAGACTTATCCAGCTCAAGGCCCTGAAGGTTCACTAAGGAGAGCGCATAGGTTTCTGCCTTTGAAGCCAGACTGTGTTTGAAACGCCCTGCTGCAGCATTGTTCTCCCAAAACACTTCAAGAAGATCGGCTCTATGATTCAGGTGGAGGTCGCCAGGCCATTGGTTATAGACTTCCACCTCTTTGCCCAAAAGCTGAAGCGTCTTGTCAAAATTGTGCACCGCCCTCTTCCATTGGCCCTTCTTGAGCGGTGCTGGGCCACTCCCTCGGATCAGGGATCCATCACCAGGTCCCAATCGTAGCCCGCCTGGTCGCTGTCGCTGTCCTCGATCACCACGGTCTCCGTGGCCGGCGTCCCATGGTACCCGAAGGCTGAAATCGCCGAAGTTGGCTGAGGTCGCATCTTGGCGGAGGCCCCCAGCGCCGTCGAAGAGGAAGCCGTTCCTGGCGTCCACGAGTGATCCAGGACCGTCTCCGCCGAAGGCAAGGGCAGCACATGCGACTTGGATGATGGATGATAAAGCCATCCAGGGGTGACACCATCGGCGCCGACGCCCCATTTCCACCTGCATAGGCAATCCTCGCATGTCGTGAAGCGGCCCTGGGCATTGCCGTGGCGCTTCATACGAGTATGTGGGCAGGTGGTCGGCGGATTCACTGGCACCGGCTTGGGCTTGTTCTTGCTTGATGGCTCCTTTCCCACTCCAGCGGCGAGGCTTCCCTGAACTTGCTTCCCCAGGCCGATCCTCGTTGCTCGGAGGGTGGTTGACATCACCAGCACCGTCATCTGCCTGATGCCTCTCATGACGCGCCGCCAGTTCACGAGCCATCTCGGAGGAGCGGCGAGCATCTTGAACGGCAATCAGAGTGCTCTCTTGGGCTTGTGGTGCTGCGGTTTCACATGGGCTGTTCACTGTGCACTTCCTAGAGTCACACAAGAACTCGTAATCATGCACATCCATCTGCTCCCAATCGAACGCAACATCGGCAGGATACTCAGAGTTCTTCAAACACAAATGGCCTTGTACCAGGAAGAGGTCCACGGTGCAGTCGAGCAGCCCGATGTAGGCCTTTTGTTTGGCCAAGTCGAGAATGACATTGAGCTTCTTAAGCAGACGCAGGCTGGCTAAGAAAGGTATGTCGAGACCGTCCAAGACCGATGTTCCCAGAGCAATCAAAGGATGATTTGCTTCAAAAGCAACTGGAAAATACATGCAGGTAGTTGATATCTGTGGGGCCCCCGCACCGAATTTGAAGGCCTCGCGGCGGTTGGAGAACAAGGCCTCCAAGCCAAAGCTTTGTAGAAGTGCTTGCTGGCTATCGCACCACGCTCGGCTGCAGCATGTGCGTTGGCATGCCGTGTCGACCACACAGTATCCCTGCATCTCGCTAGCAATGGTCATGCAATCAAACTCTGCACTCTGGAGCGGTGCACCTCGAGGTCGCAATCGTCTTGGCCTTGCGGGAGGTGTTGCTGATGGTCGAATGCATACAGAACTTCATGACCCCCGGCATGCCGAACGGAGAAAACCTTTTGTGCACTGGTGCCGCCCCTCTTGTCATTCACACTTGTGGTGTTGCCCTTGCCGCCTTTGCCAGCATCTCCCTTGGTCTTGCCCTTGGCACTTATCGGGCACTCAGGGTCGCCCGTCCAATGGCCGATTTGGCCACAAGCCGAGCAAGCTGAAGTGCGCTTGCGTTCTTCCACGCTTTTGCGTGGAGCACCTCTGTACTTTCGCCCCTGAGTCATGCTTTGTAGCTTCTTGGAGGTAACCGTCAGAACTTGCATAAGCTCTTGGATGGTGCTCTCGGTATCGTCGCCCATGTCCGGTATGAGCTCCTCGCCTTCGTCCTCGGCACCGTCTTGGTTGTCGTTCGCGTCCTCCTCGCCGTCGTCGTCCTCGGGGATCACTTCGAGGTGATCGTCCTCTAGGTTTGCCTGGTCGTCTTCTGCCTCGGCCACCCAGGCTCGCCTCATTGATCCGGTCGAAGGAGAAGAAGAAGATGAGCCGGAGGGAGCCGAAGTCGAGGATGAGGCTCCTTTGTTGCCCTTGCCTTTGCCTTTTGGTGGCCTTTGGTTCAGATCTTTGCCGCCAGGGTGTCCTTGCACAAATGGTGGTGGCTTGTGGTCCGGGTACTGGAGCACCAGGGCGTTCTTCACCTCGTCGAAGTGGAGGGATTGGTTGGTGCCCACCAAAACCATCCTCTGCTGCTCCAGCGTCAACTTGGCGCGATCCAACAGCCGACTGCCTCTGCTCTCCGAGTCGTAGGTCAGGGTCACGTTGATGCCTATGCTGAGCAGGGCCTTTTCGGCACGATGGTACCTGTTGACATACGATCGCATGCCCTCACCATTGAACCTGCTAACTGTCTCAAAGTCTGCCAGGAACTTTCTCTTAAGGTACACCTGCTTGGCCTGCAAGGGTCCGCGAAGCTGCTCCATCAAGAAAGCTATGCCATCCTTAGCGTAGAGCTTGGCGAGGTCAATGTGCTCGAGCTCCTCTTCTGCCTCGCCACTCAAGCTGCAATACAGCGTGAGAGCGGCCTCGGCCTCAGACATATACGGCTTGACCTGCAATTGCCAAATGCCCACCTTGCGCTCAAACTTCGAGAATGCTCTCAAATCATCTTTGCTGTATTGCCACTTTGGGGGAGCAGGTGGTGTTCCCCCTCGCCATCGGACCCCACGCTCGGGTCCTTTGAGAGAAGACCACGATGCCTCCTCGCCGTCCGACTTGGTGCCCCTGAGGATTTTGCGCAGCTGCTTGACCGAATCCAAGCTGATGCCTTCGCCCTCGGTCATCGCTTTGTCGCTCTGCTCGGCTGCTTGCTTCTTGGCTCGGCGTTGCCTTCTGCTAAGTTTACCAGGCCTGTCACCTGCCTCGCTGGGTGTGACGCACGGGTCCAGAGTAGGAGTCTCGCTCTCGGCTGTCTCGCGCATCTCGTGCCAAAAGTCGTCTCCTGGTGGTCCTGGCGGTCCGGTTCTGGTACGGGGCAAAGGTCTTGAAGCCGGCCTGGTCCTGGTAGCAGCCGAAGAAGAAGCCGAAGGCGACGAGCGGGGTGAAGTGGATGCCGAAGAACTCCTGTCGTTAGGTTGGTAGGTCCATGTGCCGTGTTCTGTCTCCTCCCTAGCGGGCTGAGACGTATCGTAAATCTGGTCTGATCCGCACAGCGCACAGAACCAATTGTCCCTCATTCTGTCCCAGCGGCATTCCGTACTATGGCACGCCCTGCACATCCAGATGGGTCCTTGGTCGAACCATTGTCCCAGGTCTTGTGCTCCGACTCCGCGGTCCTCATGTTGAGCTGCTCTGGGAAATCCGGGAAAACTAGGAAACTGGAAGGCTGCAGGAAAAGGACGGGAAGGCATCCAGCCGCCATGGCCAGGTTCACGAGGATCAACTCTGGGATTACCGCCGCCACCATAGATGAAGAAGGCAGGCCTGGCTTCTTCGGGCTGGGTTCCATCTGCTCGAGGATCCTCGGAAGCATTGCCGGGCATCTCTAAGAAGTCAAAGAGGTCGTCCGGCCCGTCGTGAGGCGGAGGCGTCAGCCGAGGGGCATCCATACCTCCCGGCACTGCGCAGCTGCCCTGGATCGTCAGCTCCGCTGCCAACTTGAGGCAACGAAAGTTGGAGCTTCAGCCACTCATGCGCAAGCACTCTCACGACGCTCTTTTCTACCGGAAGGCACTCACGGCTAAAGAAGGTTTGAGACTCAAGGGATCCGCTGCGAGAAAGAGCTTTCAGAGCAATTGGTTCACCGAACAGAAGGCACGCTAAAGCTGATCTTTCACAATAAATCCTGCATTACCCATAATAAGGAATATACCATAATTCCCATAGTTTAGGGTCCTTAAGGTAATGCAGGATTTATATCATCAACCATAGTATGGCTCCTTAGTCAACAAGGAGTCGGGGAGTCTCTTTGTAGAAAGGTTTTCCTCGAGCAGAACCTCCCTTTAGGATTTTGGTGCCTTGAGGTTTCGGCTTTAGTGCCAGCGCACACCCCCACCCTAGAGCCGAAAACACTAAATCGCCGGGTTTCGGGTTTGGGGAGTTTCTGAAAGTCGCGAAATTCCTGGGTGCAGACACTGCAACTTCGCCTCCAAAAGCCACAACTGCCGTACCGAAACAAACTTCTTTGCTTGAGCGCTGGAGGGCTTACGGTGTCTGTGGGGGTGGAGGGTAAGCCGGAAAGCACTGAAACATCCCCGACCCTATAAACCCCCCAACTTCCCGACACGGCGCCATTCTCCAAGCGCGAGCCCACTTTGTGGCATGGTCTGTTGCCGCCTGCTTGCGGGATCCAGGCCCTAAAACTCACAATCCCGGCTTTGGGGTCATGGAAAAGGGATGTAGGGGATAGGAAATAGGGGCTTGTATTGTTAATGCGGTTGCAAGTATACTTGGAATACGGCGATTGTGTTTGCGATAGTTTCAAAAGTTTCGGACCGCAACATAAACCTGCGCTTGTAGGACCCTTTCCATGGATCCCTTAATCTTCAGAAGGCCCTACGTGCTAAGGGTTCCCATATTCTTTTAGAATCCCCCGCGTACTGTCTATCCCTCTATATCCTACACCCTAAACTCTAAACCCTAAACCCTAAATCCTAAACCCTAAACCCTAAACCCTAAATCCTAAACCCTAAACAGTCTATCCTAAATCCTCAGCCCAAGACCTTCAGGAACCCGACAGCCAAAGGACGGGCTGGCGGATGCACCATGATGGGGCTCATTCACGGTCACCCTACAACCATATAAACCCTGAGTCCTAAACCCGGAGCCCTAAACCCTAAACCGTAAGTGCCACTGCGAGAGTTCTTGGCTCTCTCAGTGACGCCGCGTCTGCAAATCCGGAGGAGTGTAACATACCCTAGTTTACAGAGGAGCGTTTAGGCTTTTTGGGGTCTAGGGCGTAGGGGTTCGAAGACTTTAGTTGATACATGAGTGCGCAAAAGACACCCATGTCATGCCAGGCCTCGTCTCAGGGTAAATGCCGCAATTACCTTCACAAATCCGAACCACAGAAGCTCATCGATGCCCCAAATTCCGAATCCTTCAGTCGCACTGCGCTACCGGATACCTAAGCCGACTGAATCTGCAAACCCTGAGACCTCAAGCGCCCGCTATATACCCTTCGGCTTGCTGAGAAGCCCCGGTCTAAAGGCTCGCTTTCGTAAGCCAAAACCTCCTCAGGGTTCAGGGTACAATCGCAACGCGTGTGCTGCGGCTCACAAATACGTAACAGTAATGTCCCTCATACTTCCCTTCTACTTGCAGGGTGTTGCAGCAGCAGCCCACAGCACTCAGCAGTGACACCGCCAACAACACCCGCTGCAGTCACAACAAACTCAACCCCGTCTGGTACCCTTAATGAAAGCCTTGCCTCACAGGATCTGAACTCTCATTTAGAACCCTGAAGGTAACCTGAAAGTGCCCCTTCCTACTCTTCGCAACACTAAAAAGGACCCTGCCTTTTCAAAGCGCTGATGGTGCGCTGCAAAACGACCTGCACAGGCCCTTGCCCCTAGCTCGGGCCAAGATCTACTTAGCAAACCCGTTTGGGGTTTCTTGAGGTCTAGGCCGACGGCTTAGGTTGCAAGTGTAAGGCTTAAGGGTTAGGGTGTCGGATCTCGGGCTTGCGAAGGTGACAGCTACAGAATGAGGCGAGGTCCATGTTGGGATAGTGTCTCACCTTTAAACAAAGCTTGGCATTGCCGACATGATGTTCGGCTTCAGATTGGGCTCTTAAGATTGGGCTCTTTAGGGCACCTGAGGTCGCCATAAGCGCATAAAACTGACACATCGCCAATTGTCAATCACAGTGGTAATGTTAGGAGGATTGCTGTGTGCACTCTTCCCTTCAACTGTAGCTGCCTTCGGTCTACCTACGGACTGCCCTTTGCACTACAGGCTACACTGGAAATTTCTGGAGGGTCAGATGACACTCCATTCGATTGTGGAGGGGGGCACTTCGTCGGTCACGAGCTTTGCTTTCACGAGGAAGTGCGACCCGACGGAGGGATCCTAATCCCATGAGTGTGAGGGCATGAACATGCTGATGCAGGCGTGGCCTTTTAAATACGCCATGCCGGGGCTGAAGTTTCCAGTTCGCAACTCTACCCCATGAGGAACAAGGCTCAGGCTTCTTGCGTTTCTATATATATATATATATATATATATCAGCTCCAAGGAAGGTGCTCCGGCATCTCTGGTAGGTCGCTACACAGGTAGTTATGTATGGCGGGGATGGCATTTGTAGACCTGCTTCGCATTGCACTTTGAAGCTTCATTCCGACGCCTTGTGCAGCTCATGCGCATGTTATGGTGCGACATAGCATTTGATTCTGGGTGTGATGTGTTGCTAGTGGCTAGTGCCATGGTTTTTCAGCTCTGAGCTTCCGGTTTCATGCGCAGCATACTTCGCACCAGATTTCTGCACCACGCACTACTGCGTAGTTCGTGAGCGCACACTGGGGATAAGCACTTTCTAGAATTCGAGTGTGTTTGTTTAGGATGGACACGTTCTTCGGACTTGACGCCCAGCGCAGAAGAAGGCCGCTATTTGGGAGTTTCCGAAAATAGGGAACCCTAATATAGTACCCTAAAAAGCAGGATCCTTATTTTTATAGGGACCCCAAACTAAGTACCCCTAATTTTCGGAAACTCCCATTTGAAACACCTTCAGCCGGCCAGCTGCCCTGGAAGTCCGAGACCTCCCCCGACCGACGCCAGCGCTGGCCGGCGACGTGACGGGCCTCGGATTGGGAGAGGGAAGCAAACCTTGAGGGTTTAGGGTTTAGGGTGTAGCATCTAGAGTTCAGGGCTTAGGGTTTAGGGTAATTGTCCTTAAGGGCTTCTAAAATCATAGTGTCATAGTAACCATAGTAGCAATGCAAACTTTAAGGTTTAAGGCTTGAGGGCTTCAGGAGTCTGGGGCTTTAGGGTTTTGGGGTATTTCGATAGTAAACAGTAATGATGAGAGTAGTAATCATTATAAACATCATATTGAGGCAAACTTGAAGGCCCAAGGATTTAGGGTTTATGGCTGTAGTTTAGAGTAATGGTCATGCTACTAGCAAGAGCCATAAGGACCATCATGTTACTTAAGAGTGATTCAACTACTTGTGGGGTTTCCGGGTTAGCATTCTAGGTTTTGAAGGAACCGATCCTGGCTTTGCATTTTCCTTTCCAGAAAGTCTTCAAATTGCTAGTAAGGCCGAGTAAGCCTTTGTAAACCCCATACACCTGATGCCAGGCTTGCAGCAGGGCCGCCAACAGGATCTGAAGAGGTCATGCTCACGGTTTAAAGGCTTCAGGATGCGGAAGGGCATCGTGGGGCTTCGTGCGCGTTTAGGGTTTTCTCCGGTGCTTCTAGGGCGAGCAGGCGCGCTCACAAATCCACGATGCAGGGCTTCGGGTGTAGACTATAGGAATGGTATACGGGTCCATTTTCCCTCTTAACCAAAATACCTGGAAGCTTTACAGAGCTCTCAAGAACCAGGATCCATACTTGGGGACCCTCGTTTGCCCAGGAACCCTTCGGATTGCGAGGTATCCGAGCTACAGATGCTCACTGTTTAGTGCATAGAGAAAACAGACTGCTTGATGGTGATGCTCGTAATCGCCATCATAAGCTGCCAATCATAGTAGCACCCGTAATGGCGAAAACAAAAAGGGGACACACAAGAACTTAAAGGACCCAGAAGCAGGACCCTAGCAGGACCCTAGCCGGCCCCAGCTTCGTTTCCTCTCTGTCTGGGTCCCCCGGCACCACCTGTACGCAAGGCCCGGCGGGCCTCGAGACCCTAAACCCTAAACCCTAAACCCTAAACCCTAACGATTCGTTGGGATTTCGGTTTGCTTTCGAGGGCCTCCCCTCTCGAGGGTCCTTGGTAGAACTTCAGGACAAACTAGGAGGGTTTAGGGTTTAGGGTTTAGGGTGCTTTTGAAGCCTTTGAACAATATACTATTAGTAGGTAAGATCCCTTAAAGCCAAATGAGAGCAAACATAAGATGTCCCAAGGACTACCTAGAAAACCAGGCTCAAACTGAGGATCGGAATCTGCAACCTCCAACAACAAAGAGGCGTAACCAAGCCCGCCAACGTCCCGGGACGTTATTGTCAGCAATGCTGCTGATGGACAAAATCCTGCATTACCCCTTATAAGGAACTTACCATAGTTCCCATAGTTTAGAATCCTTAGGGTCATGCAGGATTTTGTCCATCAACAGTATCAACCCCGTCATGCTTAGGAGCCTTACTTCTCGGATGATCGGCCATCACCACCCTTAGGAAAAAAATCGACCACGACGACGACGACCACGACTGTCAATGCGAGTGCGACGACGCCGACGACGACCACTACCACTATGGCGACAGCTGCTGCCACCACTACATTACAACCACCTCCATTGCCACGACCACCACTGCAGCTACTACCACGACGAGATTTGACGAGAACCATACACTACCCTTCAACCCTTCAACCCTCTGACTCAACCCTGCGGCAGTTGTGTAGCGGTGCTGTTCACAGTAGCACGGATGCCTCCAACGGCAGCTCCTCCAAGGACCATGCCTGGCGTGCGCTGCAAGAGCCTTATACAATACTTATTGGGATTCGAACTGTTGGGTGAAGACTCGACATTACAGGCTTGATATGGGCCATGCGCTTAGTTGATGAGACACTGTGACTTTTTAATCGCAACCCTAGAAGCGGCCTATAGTACAACCAGAATCCCATGATGAGGTGACAGAAGAGAAGGGCCAAAGCATCGGAAGGTCGCAATGAGGAGCTTAGCGTGTGCGGCTTCGGCTGATGGTTCAATTTTTTGAGGGTGCGAAAGATCAGCACCCAAACATGACTCCTGATACACCTTAAAAACGAACCTAGCCCACTAGCCCTGAACTCCAAATATGGGGGGGGTTGTCATAATTAAACAGCAACCCTAAAAACCATCCAGAGAATCATCGTTAGTAGAAGCCCTTGGGATGATGTAGATAAGTATTTATAGGGCCCCCAAAAAAGCACATAAGCAAAAATTAGGATAGGGATATCCCATATAAACCCCTTATAATGAAGCCCAATAAGGTAGTGATGTCCCCGCAAAATGCTCATGCTTATATGCTTGTTGGGTCCCCTTATTCCCGCCCCCATATTGCAAGCCTTAGTTTGCAAGGCCTCACGCGATGTGAAGATGCGTCGGATCAGCGCCTGCTGTCTCTTCCACAAGGGCGGTGTAAGGGTTAGCGGTTCAAGGGTTTTGGGGCACAGAAGGCGTTTAGGGGTTTACGGTTTAAGGGTTTAGGGTGTAGTGGCGTGCTCAGTATGACGGCTTAACAGTGTGCTTTTGCGGTGGCTTCTCACAGCGGATTTCGGAGGGACTGGGCTGAAGGTATGTAGCTCCTTCCGCCAGAAGATGCCTTAAGGGCTGGGACGGCCCCAGGGTATGAAAAAGGGTCCCCCATTGTACCCATCATTCCGACAATTTCCCGGCATCTCAGCTCTGGGGGCTTTTTTAGGGGGCCATAGTACAGAACCCTATAGTCCAATAGTGCCCTTCAAGGGAGCCCTGCTAGAGAACCCAGAAGTACCCTTAGGGGTGGTGATTGATGTAGAGCTGCGTGAAAGCAGGCCCCCCCCCCTTAGCAGGAATCAGGCTCGGAATCCCAATGTCTAAGGCCCGCAAAGACAAGAGGGTTTCGTAAAAATCAGGGGTATGCAGCAAGCATCAGGCCATGGACCCCAAACTTCAAACCTTTAGACGTGAACATATCGAGCTCTGGGCCTTTAAGAATGCAAATCCGGGCAGCCTCTGCAGTCGTAAGCTCCAAGCAACACTGAACTACTCTAACTTGGAGTTTAATTAGTGTTTCGGAGTGTAGGGTTTGGGTTTAGGGTTTAGGGCCGGCTTTGCATTTGGAGCTTAGGGTCTGGACCCTTGTCCCGAAATATTACCTACCCCCCCCCCGGGTCCGAAAACATGCACCCTGCGCCCACAGCCTTATCCTCGGAAAAGCCTGTGCTGCTAAGGGCCTGGCATGAAGCTCAGATCGCAGGATTGAAACAACTTGGGTTGTTTGAGGGTTTAAGGCCAAGGCTGAGAAGTAGGAATTGGCAACAACCCTTAACCCACTACCCCCACGCTCTAACAGTCGATGTCAGGGGTCATAACAAGAGCTATTTGAAACCATGCTTCAATAATTACCAGACTGTTTCAAAGTAGGGGGCAGTACCCAACAGAAAGCAAAGCCCCAAACCCGAAAGGCTCCAGACGGCCAGCCTGGGCCAGAACTACAGCGCCCGGTTCACGCCAAAGGTTCACTGCTGGGCTCAACCCCTAATTGCTCACTCTCCCTTGTCCGAAAAAACTTACCCATTGCAATCGTGGCAAGGATATGCAACATGTACTGTGTAATGGCATACATAGATATATGGAGGTGTACATATATATATATAGACATATATATATATATATTATGCATACACATATGTATAATACGGACAGACAAGCACCATTCTCATTTCCACCGTACATATGTACATACATACATACATATATATATATAGATACATAGAGAGAGAGAGAGAGAGAGAGAGAGAGAGAGAGAGAGAGAGAGAGAGACAAAGAGAGAGAGAGAGAGAGAGGGTTAAGCTTCAGTTGAACCGGGCTTTGTGGTGCCAGGAGCGAAACTCAGGGGTCTTCAGTTGCAGATCAGATCCACGACGACCTGCACCTCCAACTCGATGCTTTAAGCTGAAACACTGCGAAAAGTTCTTTGGGTTTGGGGTTCCCGAACTCTGCACCTAAGACCTTCACCAGGAGCTTTCAGGGCCGGAAGCTTTCAGTATGTGACAGATTCAACCTGCATTGGAGACTAGAAGATGATCTTGTTGATGTAGGAACCTGGTTATACAAGAAACCCTGATACCATATCCCCAACAGTATTATAAACAACATAAAAAGCCCTAAGAAAGATGCCAGGCTTCTTCTTAAGCGGGTCCATACAGCAACCACAAATTCACGGCCGCAATCGTGACGCCAGAAGCCTGGAAGCCTGCGCCAAACCCGACGTCAAGAAAGCCACGCCTTCTCCAAATGCGTGGTCAGATTGCGCCCGTCCTGCTCCGGAGACTTAGGATGTAGGGTCTGGAGGTTTGGGGGGCACGGGGTGCGGGATTTTAGGGTTTAGGATGTAGGGTCACGGCCGTTGGTTGAAGGCGCTTGTTGTAACGTGGTCCTCGGTTAGGAGTTGTTCCAATCCGGGTTCCTGGAACGTCTTTGAACAGGACCTGAACTTTCAGAATTGGGGTCGAGATAGGTCTTGTGAAGGTTTTGATATTCGGGCCTGTGTTATTGCAGTTGGGTTCTCGGTATGCGGTGGCAGAACCCCTAAAGCCCAGAGATTCGTTGCTCTTCTTCTTTCAACCGTTCTTTCTCCCTCATGTTCGAATCGAAGAGGAAGCCGCAAAGGAACCCCCAAGCCCCCAAATCCTAAAACTTTAAGGGTTTAAGGCCATAGCTTCGGGTTCATGGCCTTAAACCCGAAGCCATGAATCCTGATTATCCAGAGCCCTAAACCCCAAGCCCTGAACCCCAACTTCCAACCACCAACCCTGAACCCCAAGCCCCAAACCCCACCACGCTAACCGCTTATGCAGAACCCTACTCTGGATCTTGAGTGGTAAGGTCCTGTCTTACACAATGATAGCCCTGTCAACCCTATCCCCTTGTTAAGAACCTTATTAAGGTACTAGAGTAAGCCCATTAAGCCGCTGAAAAAGGCCTACAACACCCTATCTAGGCTGTATCAAACCTCTAAGCCCGCACAATAACCCTAGAAAGATCCCTCCACAATCCCCCCAAATAACGAACCATCTCAAACCCCCTCTAAACCCTAAACCCTAAACCCTAAGCCCAACCCTTTGAAACCCTCATGAAGAGCCCTGCGAGCCTCGTTCGGCTCCCCGTCCAGATCGCTCTCCTCCCGGACCTTAGGAAGAAACCAGAGATTCGGGCTTAGGGTCTGTAGGATACTTGGGGGTTAGGGTTTAGGGTGTTTTCTTTGTTGCCTTTTTCCCCGAGGGTTTAGAGTTTAGGGCTTAGGGTCTATAGGGCAACTGGGGTTTAGGGTTCGGTCTGCGGTTTGGGATTTAGGGTCTAGGGCTTTGGGGCTCATTGTGCTCATTGCCGGTGGCGAAGTCGACGAGCTTGATTTCCTCCCGGACGGCAAGCGATGTCATCTTGCCTTCCCTCTCTGCATCCTTGTCTTTCAACTCTTTCTGGAACTCGTTGAACATGGCTTTCGGAGCCGCAGGGTGCGCGATGGAAAGCGTAGCACCTCCCTGCACCGTCGATAGTGCTTCAACCGGCTTGGAGACAGCTGCCTCGCCTGATTTGCAAACGCCGAGTCGCTGGCCCCAGGCTTTTGCACTCTCGTGGATAGCCGAGTGCTGCTTGATAGCCTTCAAGTCGGCCGGGGCAGAAGGCTTGGTATCGGTGCGACCCTCTTCAAAACCGGCATAGCCAGATGACCCAGATGGATTATCGGCATGCTGCTATGCAACTTGTCGTGAAGCCAGCGAACATCAAATTGAGTGCCGGTCACGACAGTCCATGTGCTTGGTTTTGGCATGGTCGTGGCTTTCCGGGAGGCTGTGCCCTCCGCCCTCTCTGCCCTGTCCGACGGTCGTCTTGCCTCGGCGCGTGCAAGGTTGAGCACCTCGGAGTGCGCCCCGTCTCTGTTTGTCTGCACGTAGGTGTATATAATAATAAGTTCCCGCTGTTCCAGGCCTGTTACTTTGTGACTTTTGAGGACGTCCCACTTTGCACAGGACTGGGGCCGTCATGAAGTGAAGTCTAGGGTTTCGAGTTTAGCGTCTAAAGTTATTAGGGCGATTCGGGTTTGGGTTTGAAAGCTTGCTGAATCTTTCAAGATGGGATTGCATGGAACTCCGCTAAGGATTTTGAGAAGCCCGTTCGTAAATCAGGGCTCTGACAATGAGGGTTCTCTTGTTGGGTGTCACTTGTCCCTTGTGCTCAGGATCCTGTCCCTAAGCCCTAAACCCTAAACCATCCTAAACCCTAAACCCTAAGCCATCCTACATAAACCCTAAGCACGGTCTTTCTTAAGAGTCCCATACGCCAGTTCCGACACTGCTAAGGCCTCGCAGCTTCAGGGATTCCGGGGCTTAGCGCCTCTAGGATTGAAGGCTTCGAAAGTGTAGTTCGGGGTTTAAAGGAACCCTTAAAGGAACCCTTAAAGGACCCCCTAATTCAAGGTTTAGGGTTTACGGTTTCGGGGGAATTCAGGGTGCCTTCGGTGAAGGCTATCAGCGTCCTTTGAAAAGCTTCGTCAAAGTACGGCTCCGGGTTTCGGGTCGAAGGCGTCAGATTCCAAATCCGGAAAAAGGGTGTACCTGGATCTGTCTCGGGGCTTTACATGATTTCGTGAAGGCCTTTAAGCTTGCTAAATAAGCGGTTCTACAGGAAGGTATGGGTTTCTGCAGCTTCTGAGAGAATGTGAAGCTTGCACAACAAAACCTTCCGGCTTCCCAGAGCTTGCAGCTTGCCCCGCAACCCTAAGTTGGGGGAAAGCTTGGGGTTTAGGGATGCTAGCCCTAAACTGAGACGCAGACCACTACGATCAGGTGTGGTGACAGCACGCGCCCAAAGCGCGCAAAGGCGGCATCGGAGCTGTTCGCCAGCAGCTGGAACTGGCCAGACAGTTTCAAAGAAAAACTAAGGTTCCGAGGTATTCCCATACAAACCCCCAGATAATGAAGCCCAACAAAGTAGGGATATCCTAAAAAACTGCTTATGCCGAATTCCTTCTTGGGGTTCCCTACCGTTGCTTCGGGTCCGGGCCAGGTCCTTTTGCCTTTGTTGCCTAGAGTCGGTCTTGATACCTGACTGATACAGGGGCCTTAATCATTGGAATAGGGATTCGATGTAGGTTATACTACAAATATCGGAAGGAACCATGCTGGTAGTTATTTTGGTTTCTAGTATAGGGGCCTGAACAATTAGAATAGGGTTTTGCGGTATATAAAACCATAATTAAAATTTGGAACTTCCCGAAGCAGAAGGAGAAGATATGTTTGAAGCATCACGGCTGACATCCGTGAACGTATGTCACAAAGGAGTGAACCTAGGTATCTTTAAAGCCCCTATCTCGAGGCCAAGAGCTTGGGGAAGAGTGTTTCGGGTTTTGGGTTTGGGGCTTAGGGTTTACGGTTTTGATGAGGGTTTAGGGGTTACGGCGTTTAGGGGTTTTAGGGGTTTAGGGGTTTAGGGGTTTAAGGTTTAATTGGGGTTTAAGGTTGAGGGTTCAGGGAGATGACGAGACTAAGTGAGAGACTAGGGGCGAGGTTCCTGCAGCATATAGCCTCACCATATTACATTCTCTAAGTCTGACACATCCCACCAGGAGGTTCATGCTGACTTATAAGCAAGGTCATAAGCAGGATAGTTACGGCTATAACCCACATTAAAGTAGGGGACTTATAGATTATAGCCCCACTTATACCCATGAACCTCCACGTGCCCTCAACCCTAAAACTCTGGAAGCTGCAAGTGCCTGAAAGGCTCGTCTCGTTCAGGAACTTATCTTCCAGAGACCATAAGACAGAATGCAAGCGTACACGGTATGACCTCATGGTGGTAACAATTGTAAGACAAGCTACATCCCTTTTCACACAAACCGCGAACACAATGCCGCGAAAACACTCTTGCCCTGGTGACGAAGAAACCATGTGGTCGGGAGTTTGGTAGTATCGCCTGATGTGCCATCCGCGCCAGGTCCCGCAGCTGATCGTTCTGCACCACGTTGATGGTCATGTATACCAAGATCTGGGAGTTTCCGAAAACTGAAGGACTACGTTACTTTGGGGTCCTAACAAGGATCCTATTCTTTCGGACATTAAATTAGGGTCCCCTATTTTCGGACATTATATTAGGGTCCCCTATTATTTCGGACATTTTTTTGGGGGGGTCCCCTATTTTCGGAAACCAAGACCTCGGCTGAAGAGCTCATGGCTTCCGGGTTTCAGCGTTTCAGGCTCAGGCTGGAGCCGATAAAACCCTTCCCTGTTAGGGTTCCTTATATTGTGGTCTCTACATATTAAAACAGGGTATTTTGTTGCTAAAAACTTTTTACCCTGTTCCTTATTGTGGCTTCTACATATTAAAACAGGGTATTTTGTTGCTAAAAAACACTTTTTACCCTGTTCCTTATTGTGGTTTCTACATCTTGTTCCTTCAAAAAAAGGTAGGTCTTGTCGGCTGCAAGTAGGGTTAGGGTTGTTAGGGCTTTCGGGCTCAGGGGATTTCTAGTTTGGGGCCTCGAAGCTTTGAGCTTGGCGAGGAAGGCTCCACGGCTTTTGGGCTTTGGGTTTCTTTGGTGTTTGATGTTTTTTTCTTGCGGGCCCTTTTCCAACTGCGTTACAGCGAGAATACCTGACCAGTTTTTGAGTTGAGGGTTTAGGGGCTTTCTGAACGTCTTGAGTCCAAAGAAGCCCTCCTGGGGTTTAGGGGTTTAAGGTTTACCTGAACCCCGAAGAACCTACATTTTTAAGGACCTATATAAAGAAATCATAATAAGGAACCCCAAAAAGGTAAGTTATTTAGGGTTAAGGTAGGGCCAGGGGAGGAGTTTAGAGTCTTTAGGGTTTTGGGGGGTTTCTAGGGCTTGTGGTGTGAAGGTTTCGAAGCTCCCTGCCTTGATCCCTGTAGGGCTTAGGGTTTGGGGTAGATAGAAGCAGGGTTATAAGTCCTCTAATGGTTATAAGCAGGGTTATAAGTCCTCTATAATGGGTCATAACTATAGTTATCCTACTTGTGACCCTACTTATATCTAACCATGAACCTCCAGGTAGGGTTTAGAGCTTTTGGTAGAGACATGGAGTGAATGGCTGGGACATCGGGGTGCAAGCTGGGGTCCCGCCAAGAACCCCAACCCCTGAAATCCTTATTTATAGAAGCCATATAGAAGCCTCCAAAAATCCTAAACCCTAGACACCAAGCCCTAAGCCGCCCCTAAAGTACCCTAGCAGGAACCTTTTTGAAAGTGAGAAGCTTGGCATTCTCAGGCCCCGGCCTGTGGTATCAGGACATTGGCCGCGAAGAGCCTGCAGAAGCGGTTCGAGAGTTTGACTTAGTGGTAGTGATAGTAGTGGTAGTAGTAGTAGTAGTAGTAGTGGTAGTAGTAGCAGTAGTAGTAGTAGCAGTAGCAGTAGCAGTAGCAGTAGCAGTAGCAGTAGTAGTAGTAGTAGTAGTAGTAGTAGTAGTAGTAGTAGTAGTAGCAGTAGTAGTAGCAGTAGCAGTAGCAGTAGCAGTAGCAGTAGCAGTAGTAGTAGTAGTAGTAGTAGTAGTAGTAGTAGTAGTAGTAGTAGTAGTAGTAGTAGTAGCAGTAGCAGTAGCAGTAGCAGTAGCAGTAGCAGTAGCAGTAGCAGTAGCAGTAGCAGTAGCAGTAGCAGTAGCAGTAGCAGTAGCAGTAGTAGTAGAGTAGTAGTAGTAGTAGTAGTAGTAGTAGTAGTAGTAGTAGTAGTAGTAGTAGTAGTAGTAGTAGTAGTAGTAGTAGTAGTAGTAGTAGTAGTAGTAGTAGTAGTAGTAGTAGTAGTAGTAGTAGTAGTAGTAGTAGTAGTAGTAGTAGTAGTAGTAGTAGTAGTAGTAGTAGTAGTAGGTAGTAGTAGTAGTAGTAGTAGTAGTAGTAGTAGTAGTAGAGTAGTAGTAGTAGTAGTAGTAGTAGTAGTAGTAGTAGTAGTAGTAGTAGTAGCAGTAGTAGTAGCAGTAGCAGTAGCAGTAGCAGTAGCATTACTACTACTACTACTACTACTACTGCTACTACTACTACTCCTCCTCCTCCTCCTCCTCCTCCTCCTCCTCCTCCTGCTGCTGCTGCTGCTGCTACCACCACGGGACTACCACCCCAACTACAATTACTACTACCAGCGCCACCACTTCAATCACTATTGCCGCTGCTACAACCACTACCACTGCCTTGACTGCTCCGTGTAGACGCAGTGGCCCATGTTGACACTAACCGACTTGCGAGGGAGCTTGTCCGGAAGGTGTTCAGAGAGCTTTTCCACAGTTGATGGTGATCAAAACATCTTGCACTACAGGTGTCCCTGACATCCTCCATTAGAGCAGCGCTCATGCTCGACACACTCAGAGCTGAAATCCCATCACAATACCACAACATAATTACATCAGAGACTACCACAGCCACAGCTTCTGAACCCCAAACCGTAGACCCTAAACCCTTATGAATCGTAAACCAAGGCCCAGGACCCTCCGACTATGCTGCCGAAAGCCGGGAAACCGCACCCTGAGCAAGGAAATCCCGCAGACATTGCCTCCACTGCTCCAGCTCGCTGACCTGTTCTCAGATTTCTCTAATTTGGGGATCGACAAACAAAGCAGCTGGAAGTGGACGCAATAGCTGCGATTTTGCTAGGAGAAAACTTTGTTTTTCGGCCCAAAACCATATCTTTCCTAGGGAAAGGTTCAGAAATAGTGGTGGAGCACGCAGCAGCAGTAACCCGAATCGTAGCCGTAATCCCCTGAACACCCAACGAAACCCTACACCCCCTAAACCCCTAAACCCGGTAGCCCCGAAACCCAAACCCCTAATATAGGGGCCTCTAAAACTTAGAGTACGATGCCTGGGCCCGTTATAATACAATTATTGCTATGAAGAACCCCCTATAGGAAATTATTTAGGCCCCTATAAGAAAGACCTAAACCCTTTGGAATGGTATAGGTAACCATTTAAGCCCCTATAGTCCTAGATGCCAAAACTTGTAGCCCCAAACCCTCAACCCCAAAGGCCTAAACCCTTTTGGAACCGACCTGCTTCAAGCCCTTATAGATCCCTTATACTAAACCTCATAGACCCCTTTAACGGAACGACTCCATATTACGGCCTAAACCCTAAACCCGGGACCTGCTTCAAGCCCTGGGAGTCGCAAAGGTTCAGGTGGAACTCGAGGCCTGTGGCCTGGCCAAGGGGAGTCCTAAGAAACCCACCTTTTTGGGGTTCCTTAATGTGATTTCCTTGTATAAGTCCTCAAAACGGTAGGATGCTCGGTTGCGATGGGTTTTTGTCAGGGTTGGTAGGATCTTATAATGCAGGATAGTATGTCATAGTATATTAAAGAAGATCCTATAGCAATAGCTTATATTGCTTGATAGTATGCCATAGTCATAGTACATTATAGAGTATTATCTATATACTAAAAGAGTATAGCACAGGATAGTAGGTCACAGTATTTTCGTGACGTATCCAAAACCCTGGACCCTAAACCCGAAACCCCAAATCTTCAAGAGTCCTGCAGGTACAAGTACACCCTACATCCCCTAGGGATTTATCATGACTTTGGCGAAGGGTTTTGGGGTGGGGCTGCGATTGTCCTTAAAACCGAAACACTAAACATGTGTTGAGCTGCTTGATGTCCAGACGTGACGGCAGTTCACAACTCGGCCATCAACGGCCTCTGCGGGAAGGATTGCAGACCAGAGGCCTCCCGTGCGAGCCAGCTTCCAGACAAGAAGCTCCGGATTTGAAAGTCTGGCTAATTAGTGATAAGGATAATGATGACAAGAAGAACAATACTGATGTCCTCCCCTGTTGCCACCCCCCCGGTAATGCTGGATAGTGTCTTACGCGAATTTTGCCACACTAGGGATAGTAAATACATTCAAGCTTCCCATTGCTGAGTGCTTGATCAAAAAAGCCAGCAAGGGACTAAACGACGCCCAACCGAATACGCTACTGTAAGCCAGAATCCAAGCCCTAAACGCCATTGGATCGCTGAAGTCAGCTTCTTATACTCGATGTAGGCTTTAAGTCTTGTGCTGACCTCTTACTCCTGCTTCTGCTCCTGCTCCTGCTCCTCCTCCTACTCCGACTACCACGGCTGCTACTGCTACGGCTACTGCTACTGCTAGGGACCTACTGCTACCACCAGGACTTTTATTCGTAGTAATCGCAACAAGAAGAATATAACGCACTTATAGCCCCTACTTGGTGATGCCATGAACACAACTCCGACACCCTGCTACCTGAGCCGAAAGATCAGTTCAAGAGATTTGAGCACGACCCATCAAGAAAGCCGCGGGAAAGCTTGGTAAGACGTCCCTAAATCTTGAATTGAGGTGAGGAACGCCTCGCAGTTGTCCAATTGGGCTGGGGTTTACGGTTGAGGGTTGTGTGACCTTTGGGTCCTAGTGTTGAGAGGTGAAGCGAGCCAATATGCATGCATGCGTGCATGCATTTATGCATACATATACATACCGCAATGTAACATAGCATAGCCCAGCAGAACACAACACAACATAGCCTACCCTACCCTGCCATCTTCCATGCACTCACGCATTGCGTGACGAGGCTCCCATGCCCGCCTTTGGTCAGGGACTCCCGCGTTTGGCCAGCAGGAAACACGAAGTCCTGGGGTCCGACAAGCGGTCCAGCAGTTCCCAGAGAGCCCAATACCCTTTAACTAAGGAATATAGCTCAAATCATAATATGTATCCCCTTATAATGTAAGGTATATTCCGTAATTAAGGGGTATTGGGTATTGGGCTCTCTGGGTTTGGCCATGCCCCGAAGCAAGAGTAGGAGCAGAGCATACAGCAGCCTAAACCGTGAATCCTAAACCCCGAACCCCTGCCCCGGACCCCTAAACCATCCTAGAGTCAGGAGAGGCCTTGCCCAGTTTGGGTAATTGCACCAGCATGGCCCAGAGATAGTAGCCATTATATCCTAAAACACTTTACCATATAGAAGATAAGGTGCAATTATCCAAAACGGACGAGGTAACGGGTCGCCCGTTTTGGGGAATTACATCACCGTCAGTCAACCAACCAGTGCTCAATAATCCCTAAAACACATTACCACACAGAAATCATTCCATTTATCAGGTGATGCAACTCCCCAAGATGGGCAAGGTTAGGTTTATTCATTTTATGGGGAATAGTATGGGGCATTGGGTTGTTCATTCAATAGATTAAATCAATGATTAAACTATTATTGGTTCAGCATGTCGCCGTCATCTTCTTCCATTTTTTGAATACTTTTCTTCCATTTCACAGCGTGTTGTCGTTTTGTATCTAAATATCTAGTGTCCTTGCTACCTTCATTCTGACATATCATTTCAATATGCTCAACCATTTCTGAATATTTCTTAATTCACTGTTTATCTTCTTGAATCTTACCTTCTAAAAAAGAAATATCACTCTATAACCCAAGCTATGTTCCTTAGTTCAGCGGTCTTGGGCCCTCCGGGGAAAAGGGAGCCGAGGAGTTGGCGTCCCGAGCCGTGAGATTCTGCGCCCAAGCGGTCAAGAGGGTGGACTTGCCGACCTGGCGGCTCCGAGGGTTTTAGGGTTTAGGGCTTAGGGTTTAAAGTTTAGGGTTTAGAATTTAGGGTTTAGGGATCCATACCTTAGGGTTGATAAAGCTTAGGTTTTAGAGGGTTTATAGGGTTTAGAAGGTTTAGAAGGTTTAGTAACATAGGGTTTATAGGGCTTATAAGGCTTATACGGTTTAGTAACATCGGGTTTATAGGGTTCATAAGGTTTATAAGGTTTAGTAACATAGGGTTTATAGGGTTCATAAGGTTTAAGGTTTATAGGGTTTGGTGACACTTAGGGATTCGGATCTCAGGGTTATAACGTTTAGGGCTTATAGAGCTTACAGGGTTTACAGGGCTTATCGGGCTTGTAGAGCTTGTAGGGTTTATAGGGGGGTTTATTGTGCTCACAGGGCTTGTAGGGTTTAGGGTAGTGTCTAGAGCTTAGCGTTCCCCAAGGGTTTAGTTGGTTAAGGGTTTGGGGCTTCAGGGCGTATAGGGTTTGGGGCCGTTTAGGGTTTTTAACGGTTTCAGGCTTTAGGGTTTCTGAGGAGTTTAGTTTCTCAAGGGTTCATTTAAAGTTTCAGGGCATATTTGGTTTAGGGTTTAGGGGTTTAGGGTGTAGGGGGGTTTGGGGTTCAGGGTTTAGGGTCGCAGGAAAGCACATTTCTTGAGCTATTGCCCTGATCCAAAGTGGGCTTCAGATATGTTTGTGTTGGGGATTCCGTGTTCCCCAACATGGGAACCCTGATCGCTGCTGAAACCCCAGCTGTTAAGCCTTCTTTGGGCTTCCTATGCGTACCCTGAACCCTGTACCTTAAACCCAAACGAGAGGACCTTCAGAATAAAATACGGATACACACATTGAGGCCCTTGTACTAGGATGCTAGTGCTCAGGCCCCTCGGTAGGGATAGCAATAGCCTCCGAATACTGGCGCGCTTAGACAGTATTGCAAGAGGTATCTTTATTATGTAACATTTAAGGCGCTTCATAAGGACTGTTGTCAGGACCTTACAATTAAGGCCCCCCACCAGCATTGTAATCGCCATCCTGTGATTGAAGCCCTTGATAAGGGTTGTAACAATGTCACCAAGGGTTATCATCGGGAAAGTAGACCCTTACAGGAAGGGGGCCGTCCGATGCCAGGATACTCCGAAATCACTGAGCTTGCTGAAATACCAGTAACGGATTATTGTAGTCTCTCTGGGGTAGACTTCGAAATCTGCTTGATTTACAGGGTTGCGGAGTCTGCTTCTGCTGGGACAATCTCCTCCCTCAGGATCCCGAAGAAGACTTTCTGAAGGATGGGCTAAAGCTTTACTGCCCGGAGTTTCCGGGATGTGAAACTCTACATCCACGCCAGAAGTGTTTGAGTCTTGATTCCTGGGCCCCCACCCGGTCGTCGCCGGTGACGCACACGGAGCCCACGGCGCCCAAAAGACGAGTGAAGCTGTCCGGCAACTGCAGGCGCAGAGCAGGAAGTGCAGCAAACTGCAACAGCTCATCGGCAACAGGAGGTTTGGGACAGGACAAGACAAACTACCTACCGCACCCAGACACACATTGGCAAATTGATTGAACTTGATAAGATGATACGTGGTACAGCCGCCGGCCTCCGCCGAAAGCTCCGAGTTTCTCCAGGCCACAGCTGGCGCGGGTCCAAATGCCCTGCGCAGGCCATGGCCTACATCAACCCCCTGTGTGTCGCACGCGTCGTCGCGCATGTCATCGTCGCCGTAGCACGTCATGTTGGTCGTCAACATAGCTGTCCTCGATCTCTCGATATCATCCTGCTCCTCCTCTTGAACTTCCTCGTCCTCGCCCTCGTCGTCGCCGTCGTCGTGATCGTGACGGTACAGTAGTGGTGGCACAGGCCCAACAGGCATGGCATGGATAATTCATGACACATGCCGCGAAGCAACGAGAAACCAAATGCCTGAAACCCAGGGGAAACATGGCCCAACCCCGCCTCACAGCCGGCTCGGCACCTCTTGCGGGGTCACGTGCACAGGGCTTCCGTCTCCGGAAAAGAAAGAGTGCTTAAGATTCCGGGATTAAGGGGGTTCAAGATGTAGGGACCAGGGCCTGTCCTACAGCAACAGCAAAACGTTCCCTCAGCATTTTCATGTCTTTCCTGCTACATCCAGCAATCGGTTCGACTCACAGACTCCAGGCGAAGTTCAAGACATCTCAGGCAGACCCCCCCCCCCCTGAACCCTAAACCCCGCTGGCCTTGTGCCACCAGTGCAAGCAGTGGCAACGTGAGAAGCACGGCCATGGTGGATCGGGTGGACCGAAAAAATATAGGGGCCTTAATTACTAGAATAGGGCTTTGGAGCCCGTTATGCTATAATTATAACATTCATCCCCCGAAATAATGTATAACATGCGGGCCGGGAGGCTCGATCTGCTCGGAGAGCTTTGGGTTTGGGGGGGTTGCGGATCGAGGGGGGGTTGCCATGATAGCGATAGCCAGTAAACGGTTTAGGGTTCAGGGTTTAGGGTTTCAGTAAAGCACAACATGACACGATCAGTAATGGCATCAAGGGTGACATCACTGCTGCAAGCATCAACCGCTACTGATACAGGGGAACTTGCGCTGGAAGCGTGTGACCACAACATGCTTGCAAACCAAAGAGCCAGTCTGAGCTGCATTCACGCCTTGATCGTAAATGCCAGCCGTGGTCACGTTCAGGAGGGAAATAATACAGGATGGAAATAATACATAAGTGCATTCAACCAACGGAACTGTCAGGTTCAGAAGGAGCCGGAATAGTAAATGAATGCTTTTAACGAGTGGCAAATAAGCAACGACAAATTGTAAAGGACAGCTCTGCTGGCTCATTGGGTCATACAGGGGAGATGTGTTGATACCTGAACTTCTACAAGTGTCGCTGATGCTGTTACCACTTCAGCAGCAGCAGCAACAACTACTACTGCTACTACTACAACCACTACCACCACTACCACTACCACTACCACTGCCACTACCACTGCCACTGCCACTGCCACTGCCGATGCCACTGCCACTGCCACTGCCACTGCCACTGCCACTGCCACTGCCACCACCACCACCACCACCACGACCACGACCACGACCACGACTACGACTACGACCACTACCACGACGACGACGACTACTACTACTACTGCTCCTGCTGCTGGTGTTGCTACTGCTGTGACTACTGCTGCTGCTGCTGCTGCTACTACTACTACTACCGCGACTACTGCTACCACTCCTACTGCTGCTACTACTACTTCTTCTACTACTACTGCTACTACTACTACTACTACTACTACTACTACTACTACTACTACTACTACTACTACTACTGTTACTACTCCTACTGCTGCTGCTACTACTACTACTACTACGACGACGACCACGGCCACGACTTAATACGACTACAGCAACGGCGGCTACTACTACGACTACTACGACGACGACAAGGACTAGGACTCGGACCAGGACTAGGAGTGGGACAAGAGTACCTTTAACCGTACCAGTACTAGTACTGGTACCACGTCGGCGACTACGACGACGACTACTTCTACACCTACTTCTACTTCTACAGCTTCTTCGACTTCGTCTATTTCTTCCAAGTAGTTCTTGTTCTTCTAGTTCTTCTACTTCTTCTACGTCTTCCACTTCTTCTACTTCCTCTACTTCTTCTACTTCTTCTGCGTCTCCTACTGTTACTCCTACTTCTACTTCTACGTCTACTTCTACGTCTACCACTACCACTACTACCACCACTGCCACTACCACGACGACTACTAATTACTACGACGACTCCCACGACGACGACGGCGACTACTACAACAACTGCTGCTGCTGCTGCTGCTGCTGTGCTGCTGTGCTGCTGCCCCTCCCCTCCTCTTGGCAAGTGTGCGTGAGTATGGTCTGCGCCGGTTGTCACCACCCTTAGCGCTTCAAGGTTACCATGCTACTCAACTGAAGGGTACTATACTATACATAATAATCTAGGTAATCTAAGGCTACTATTCAAACCAGACTATGAGTTACACGAGACCTGTCCTTTTCTGGGCCGACACGGCTGCTCCCAAACGTCGCTTGGCGCTGCAGTTGCCACGACCATGAGCCCTAAACTACAAAGTCCTTTGGGGATTAAGGTTCAAACGCACCTTGATAGATTCCCATGCAGAGAGTGATGTTGTAGTACTAGTACCGTTATAGTAACCTTGTAGTGATTCTGGTCTTCGGGTCTGAAAAGGGTTTTTCACCATGGGTTGCAACATTGCAGCGGGCGCGGGCCCTCCCGGAGGCAACGGAACTTCAGAGCGCGGTGGTTCAGAAAGAGGCTGTGGGGGTTGCAGGTTTCGAGCTTCGGGCTTAGGAAGTTTGCAGAGCAGCCTCAGGTTTCCTGTGCTCCAAAGCGTCTTTGTCAAGAGCACCCCTTATGAGATGCCCGTGACCCCCCGCAGTGCAGAAGGAAGCCCTAGATTCCCAGCTGCACAGCAGGATGCTGGAACGGCTCGCACCCAGAGAGCCCAATACCCTTTAATCAAGGAATATAGCTTAAATCATAATATGAATCCCCTTGTACTTTAAGCTATACTCCTTAATTGAGGGGTATTGGGCTCTCTGGGCAGTCTTTTCAGGCAGCAAGTGTCGGCAAGGCTCCAGATGCCAACTGCCCAAGAAGCCTGGAGGCTTTTACTAGACCTAAGAGTAACCTAGGAATAAAAAGGGTGCCCTTTTTGGTATAAAGGGTGTTATAAGGGAACCTGAACCCTAAAAAAGGGAATAAGGGGGGCCATAACGCGAAATAGACTCTCAGCCCGACGCCTATCGTATGCTGGCCCCCAATTCATGGGTGGTTGTCAAAATTAGGGCCCCTTTTTGGGTCCCTATTATAGTACGGCACCTATCATTTAGGGTACCCAAAGGGGACCTTAGTTTTGACAACTACCCTCATATTTTGAAGGGCGGTTTAAGTGGCAATACTTGCAAGAACACTACCTGCAGTTGTTCAAGCCCCTGTGTTACTATGAAGTTTGACTCGAGTCTTGCCGCCTGCGCACAGGGGTGGTGCTGGGGATGTGATCGAGCCCTGTCATCCTGAACTGGAAGCGCTTGGCTCCAAGCCCTTTCTTAAAGATAAGAATGCACACGAAGCCCTAAGCCCTTGTCGCAGCCCTTATAGCTTCGAAACCTTTTGGGTAATTTCCTAATTAGGGCTCTTGTTTCAAAGCCAGAGTAGTACGGCACCCTCATTAACAGGACCCTAAAAGGCACCTTGTAGACACCCTTCATGGTGATAACATTGATACGGCGTATGATTGATGCGGCTACTACCAGGACCAGCACAACAAACAAATCAACATGTCACAAGATAGCGGAATCACCACAACCCAGAGAGCCCAATACCCCTTAATTAAGGAATATGGCTTGAATCATGTTATGCGTCCCCTTATAATTTAAGGTATATTCCTTAAATCAAGGGGTATTGGGCTCTCTGGGTACCACGACTGTCACTCCGGCTCTGCTGCCACTCGGTTTCTGAAAGCCGCCTTACAAAATGCCGTGCACTGTTCGCGCTCACAACCAGAACCATCTAACATACCGGAGACTTCAGTGAACACTTTTCCGTCCTATGGACCGTCAGCTTAATTCCATAGACACTAATTACCACCTGAAACCGAAGCCCTTAGCCTTGAGCAAGTCCAGGATGCAGTACGTTCACAGCCCTCCGGCTCTTCTAGGAAGCCGCAGCTACGGCGGCTTCCCGTAAGTGATGGGAGTTTCGGAAAATCCGCTTCTTTAGGGGTCTTGCTGCACTGGTCCGTGCCGGAAGATCCGACTTGTTAGAAGGGCTTCGTGCTCTTAATATACCTAGACCTACTAAACCCTACTTTTTTGTAGGTTCTTATTATAAACCCTAATATGGGATTTATAGGGACCCTACAAAAAAGTAGGTTCTGGTAGGTTAAGGTCGGGGCCTTAATACTTAGAATAGGGTTCAATTAAAGGGGTCTATAAGGGCTACTATTTGGGAGCCTGCCGTGCCGTTTATGTTGCGGAAGTGGTTGAACAACTCCCGAAGTCGCGCAGCTCGAGTTGTGCCCTTTTGGGTCCAACTCACGCCACGCACCTGGGTTTTTGTCAGGGGGGTTAGGGTTTTGGGTTTTGGGTCATGGGGTTTTGGGTTTTGGGCTTTGGGTCATGGGGGTTTAGGGTTTTGGGTTTTGGGTCATGGGGGTTTAGGGTTTAGGGTTTTGGGTCATGGGGGTTTTGGGCTTTGGGTCATGGGGGTTTATGTAGGGTTTTGGGTTTTGGGTCATGGGGGTTGAGGGTTTAGGGTTTTGGGTCAGGGGGGTTTAGGTTTTGGGTTTTGGGTCAGGGGTTTCGGACATCAGGCGTTTGCGCCGAACATCCCAAGCGGAAGGGTATCTCGAATTGAATGTAGGTGCCTTAATCATTGGAATAGGTTTTAGGGCTCCATTAATCAGACGTATGCAAGAACTATGCGGGGACAGTTGTCTTAACTCCTAATTATTCCGAGCCCTCTGTGGGCTTTGGGTTTAAGGCGAGAAAACACTCGAATCCTAAACGTGACCCCGGACCCACCGCCGGGACCCCACAATTACTCTCCATGCTGATATGGCCTGAAATACTACTCTGGACCATAAGTGCCCTGTGAAAGGACACTTGAAGACTTGGAGGATCAGGGACAAAGATCCTATGAGGTACCTATATAAC